TGAACTATTTGCAATAGTGAAAGCTTTCAAACTCATTGAAATAAAATCTCATAAAAGAGGAAATTGTTTGAAAGAGGCATGGATATTCTCTGATAGTCAAGCTGCTTTAAAAAGACTTAGAAATAGTCAGATTCATAATGGTCAAATGAATCTTGAACTGATCTTAAACTCTGTTTTAAAAATTCAAGAGAGAAGAACATCAAAGCTGAGAATTCATCTGCACTGGGTTCCTGCTCATATGAATATTCATGGCAATGAATTGGCTGATTCAGCTGCAAAAAAGGGTGCAGAATTAAGCAGATCTATTCAAAAAATTGTGTCCTGGTCTTTTATAAAGAGAAAAATAAAAGAATCTTGTTTAGACAAGTGGAATGAAAGCTGGCAGAAACAAAAGAAGAGTATACATTATTCAAGATTTGAAACAAAACCCAAGTGGAAATCTTGTTCAATTAAATGTAAAAAGAAAATATTCTCATCTATAATACAGCTGAAACTAGGACATGGCTATTTCAAATCTTATATACAAAGATTTGATGATAGATTTGACTCAATAGAATGCTCATTCTGCAATACAAATGAGAATCCTGAGCATATTATAATGCACTGTGCATTATACAATAGTCTCAGAGCCAGATTGAAAGAGAAGTATGATCTAAATCAATTAAATATGAGATTCTTATTCTCAACTGAGACAGGAATTAAATACTTAATAGACTTTCTATCAGAAACTCAAGCAGCTACAAGAAAATGGCTAAATTCAGAATTATCTGAATATGAAGAGGAGGAAATCAATCAGATATAGTCTGTTAAAACAGCTATACACTCTCTTTTAAGAATTTGTTTTGTTATAGTCTCTCTTTACTTTTTCTTTTTCTGTATCTTTTTCTTTCAATTTCTTTCTATCTATCTATTTAATGTGTCTATCTTTGAGACTGTGTTCTTTCTCTCTTTTCTTTTGTCATGATATTGTCAAATGGTTACAAAGTATCAAAAGAGGTTAAAACACTGCAATTTGTAAACAGTTTTTGTATTCTGGGCTGGAATTTTCTGATTTTGCATATCTGAAATTGATGAATGTACAATAGTTAACTTTACAGACATAGAAAAAACCCTGAGAACTAAAGTTCTCAGGTAGATGTCATAGTCTCTGACTGCATACATCTATAATTGAAGAATAATAATAATAATAATAACACTTTGCTTGAATTATGTTAAAATAGTGATATTTCATTTCATCTGTAAATTTTGCATAATCTGATGAATCTATCTTCTTTCAACTCTTCATCAAAGAAAAGAAATAGAATATGAAATTAATATCTGCTTCAGAGTCAAGTAGACATCTCACTAATATCTTCTTATTCAGAATATACATTGTGATTATAACATGAACTCAGAGATATGAGAATTATCAATTCTTTATTTCTTTCTCTTTTTTATCTTTGACAGATACATTTGTCAGAAGAGAAGTTAATTTTGAGAAGATATTTTCTCAGTTTCTTTTCTTCTTCAGCTTCTTACAATCACTGATATAGTAATTATCAGCTTCACAGTTGAAATAGAGATCTTTATCAAATCTTTTTTAATATTTCTTCACAGTGAGTGAAGAATCAGAATACTTAAAATTCTTCTTTACTTTCTCTACACTGAAGCTATCACAGCATTATTTAGATTCTGTTATTAATTACTTAGAAGAGATCTTATTGATCTTTTTCTCAGAGAATTAATTATTCAAGTGAATCTGAGAAGTCAGGTTGACAAGCTCAGTGTGATTGATTGATAAACTCTGATATTATGATATTATTATTCACACCTTGTAAGTCAGCTTCATGAGATAAAGCTGTGTTTTTAATTGATTCAAATTATCAGTTAATTTCTCTTAATATTCTTCAAATCTTACATTGAAATCAGAAGAATTCTCATCATCTCATTAATATAATGAGTTAAACTGCTGTATTACTGTGAAGTTATAATTACAGTGATCTTTGATTTAATTCAGTAGAAAGTTCTTGAATTCTTTTTAAGTTATAATAGTATTGATACACTCAAGCTCTTTCTCCTTAATAGCTTAAGTAATCACAGAGATATCTTCAAGAAGATTAGCAGTATATATTACTCATATCTTATAAGTATTATACTGACTCAGATTAAGGCAGAATTTCTGTTCAAGAGTATGAGTAAAGCTGTGAAATTCAGACAAGATATTTCTCTTATATCTCAGTGAATCTCTGATCTTAATCTCTCTATCTTCATGATAGATGTAGATGTGTAGAGGCTGCGGCGGTGACAGAGCAGTTGAAGAGCTTATAGACTGACCGCTGAGACTATGAATTTCACGTTTGATTTCATTTGATCTGGTCTCATACATTTCTTGGCGTGAATTCTGCTGGGACTGGCTATCAAAAAAACAGATAAAGTGACTATACATCAGATCTTAAAATGGAATCATGACTTGAAAAAAATGAGAAAGTGATTTCATTTGATCTCATTTAGTCTCATTCTTGACATAAAGTTACTATTTTTAGACATTTTAAGGTTTTTTTTAGACTATTTTTAATTTTTTAAAAAGTAACACTTTTTGATAACACTCAAATGAGATTTAAAGTCATTTAAAGCAATAAAAATAATTTAAATTGAGAAGTGAAAATCATGATCTTATTTGAAAAATGTGATAAGAGTAGACAGTAAGTCTCACTGAGACAGTATAAGACTACTATCTAATGTTAAAATCATGTAATGAAAGCAGTTGAATTGATAATGAGACTATCAAAAAATCTAGTCCTGGTCTCAGACACGGTCACATGATCAGTCTAAGAGCTTATATTAAAATGTGCAGCAGGTTCAGAAATCTCGGATTTCTGTCAGAATAGAGATATACACACTCTAGAAAATGATGTAGTGTTTCTCTCAGAGAGTGAGATTGAATTGATTTCAGCACTCATGTATGAGATTATATCAGTCTGTTAGAGCTCAACTGATTCAAATATATAATCAGATTAAGTGATTTGAATTGTAATATAACAGAATCAAAGCAGTGACTAGTCAGTAGTATTATATAGAGATAGTTATTTAAGAAGCTGTATAAGTGAGCTTGACTATCTTGCTTAAATAGTGAGCTCATAGACTACAGAGTTATTGTAAGAATATCACAGATATAATACTTAGTATACTAAGAAGATTGTATAAGATATGCAGTAACTCTTATATATATTTCAGTGAAAGAAAAATAAATTACTGACTTCTTTAATAAGAAGTCAGCATCTAGCTATTCTATATAGATAATAAGCAAATACTCTTCTCTTATTTCATGAGTAAGAATAGTCAGAGTGATACCTCAGCAGTGTCTTATTATCAAGAAAGAGTAATCTGCTGATCTTGTATAGAAGTGAGGTTCTTATATTCATCAATCAGATCTTTCTATAATATATTCAAATGATATCATAGAGTGATTGAAAACCAGTTCAGACAGGATGAAATCATCCGCATGAAAGCAATGAGCCGTGTGAAACCGCAACAGAGCCTTGGCGCGGCTGGAAGTGTGACAAAATGTTAGAGAAGAAAAAAAAGAGAAAGTGCAGAAATCAGTGATTAGAGTGAATACTTATATATATATACAGAGATGCTTCAGAGTAAAAGAATAGAAATTTCAGAGTAGAAGAATAGAAATTCTGTGAGTTTTTCAGCTGAGAATTAACAACTGAGAATTGAAGCTTTCAGTAGAAATATATGAAGTGTAATGAAATAATCTATATAATTTTATCAGATGCAGTCTGTTACACTTAGACTGATTATGTGACCGTGTCTGAAACCAGGACCAGATTTTTTAATAGTCTTATTATCACTTTGACTGATCTCATTACACAGTTTTAACATTAGATAGTAGTTTCATACTGTCTCAGTGAGACTTACTGTCTACTCTTATCACATTTTTCAAATGAGATCATGATTTTCACTTCTCAATTTAAATTATTTTTATTGCTTTAAATGACTTTAAATCTCATTTAAGCATTATCAAAAAGTGTTACTTTTTAAAAAATTAAAAATAGTCTAAAAAAAACCTTAAAATGTCTAAAAATAGTAACTTTATGTCAAGAATGAGACTAAATGAGATCAAATGAGACTACTTTCTTATTTTTTTCAAGTCATGATTTCATTTTAAGATCTGATATATAGTCACTTTGCATGTTTTTTTAATAGCCAGTCTCAGCAGAATTCACACCAAGAAATGTATGAGATCAGATCAAATGAGATTAAATATGAAATTTATAATTCTGATAGTCAGTCTAGTTACACTTACTTATCTGTAAAAGAGTGTCTCTAATAGCTTATTCAGATATGTTTATCTTTATATAAAAAGATTTATTATAATATAATTGAATAAGTACTGAGAATATTATTATATACTCTCTTAATATAAGAAAGATCTCTTTATATATAATATTTCAGATAATTGAATAAAACTTCTTCTTTCATAGATTTACATTTATTTCTCTTAAGAGATCTGAGAGTAATATAGTTATTTATATGAAATCTTTAATATATCTACAGTAGTATAAGATTAACTTAAGAAATTGTTATATATAATATACATTTCTCAGTAGTAGTTAATTTACTATAATATTCAGTTTCTCTGACATGAGATATATATAGTTATTATTTACTATATATTCTATAAACTTTAACTCTGTCATTTTAAACATATACTTGATTGATTAAATATAGAGCTTATACTCTGTGACAGTTATAAGCACTTTATCAAGATACTTCACATGTTTATTATATAACTTTGAAAAGATTAAGATGTTATTTAGATATATAAGACATAAGATTTTATTCTGTTTATAAAAAATCATATTTATCATTATTTAAAAGATAACAGTCATATTTATCAGACTGAATAATATTACTAGAAATTCAAACTTCTCTCATTGTATATTAAATATAGTTCAAGATATTGATAGTTTATCTATACAAATCTGTTAATATTCTGAGAGAAGATTAATCTTTGATAGATATTAAGTATTTCTAACTGTATTCAACTGTTGTTAAATCTGTGACAGTAAGTATCTGTTCTTAATCATAAGCTTATTGAGTGCTTGATAATTCATACACAACTGCTATTTCTCACTTATCTTTTTCATAAATACAACTGAGAAACCTCACATACTTGATAAGAGTTGTATAAGACTACATTTCAGAAGGTCTGTGATCTGATACTTCTGTTCTTTGAGATGTATTTGCAACAGAAGGTATGCATTTTAATTAACTGGTTTTATATTCTCTGTATCAATCTCATGTACAAATTCTTCTTCCAGTGATAATTTCAGTGAAAGATCTGTTTGAAAGATCTTCTCATACTTCTCTAGAAGTGTCTTTATATGCTTGTTCTTCTGTATATTCTTTATCTTGGTTTCCTTAACCAACGAAATCAGGCATCAGCAGAGAAAGAAAAAAAAAGGTGAGAAGGCGAGAAAGTCCGCTACCCAATACCCACCAACGAAAAATCAAGCATGCCATCAAAGGGATGGATGATATGTGTTGTATGTTCTCCATCATGCTCAAGCCTAGTTACCACGAACTATGCCCCCCATCCATCCTCAAATCACTGCCTGTCATAAAACTGCTCGCATCACTGATCAAAAACACAGCCGCGCCGCGATACTCCTGCGGCGCGCTGAGCCGGTTCAGCATATTCTGCTTCGGCCACTCCGTGCGGCGCTCGGGGTATTTCACAAACAGCTCCTCGACCATGGCGGTGACGATGTAGCCGGGCGAAATGGTGTTGACGCGGATGCCGTGCTGGCCCCATTCGGAGGCGAGATTGCGGGCGAGTTGGAGGACGCCTGCTTTGCTGGTGTTGTAGGCGGGGCAGATTAGGCCCTGGGGTTTTGTGCAGTTAGTATTTGTCAGTGTTTTGGGCGGTTGGTGGCATAGTATTGGGGTAGTTAGGGTTGTTTCTTAGAAAGTTCAAACGGGTGATGATGTATGTGGGGTAGTTGTGTTAAGAGGCTAGTGGGACAGGGGCTGAAAGCTGCACCAGCAGCGATTGCCATACATAGTACACACCACCATATGCCGAGCCAAAGCCATATGCCACGAGAGAAATATTGCATTTCAGGAAAAGCAGATGCCAAAAGTGAGCCGGCGGGCTAGAGCAATCGGATGTGCATCTCTCGCTTTATTCTTCGTCTCCGGTAAAAGGCGAAGCGGAGAAATAAACACGATCAAGGGGGAGGAGGAAAAGATACGAATGAAAATTAAAAACAAAAATAAAAATCGCAGAACATACCCTATTCGCAATAGTCCCACTCATACTCGCGATCATAACAATGCTCCCTCCATTTCCAAACCTGATCATCTGCTTCGCCACAGCCTGGGCGGTCATAAACACGCCCGTAATGTTGATCTCAAACATCATATTAGCATCCTTGGCAGTGTACTCGAGCGCAGGAGTTTCCTGTTGAATCCCCGCTGCGGCAACGAGGCCGTCTATCCTACCCTCATGGTCTGCGATTTCCGTGATAACCTCGTTTAGAACCTCGGTGTCGCGCACGTCGATGCGACGGTAGTGGATCTTCGTGTTTAGCTCTTCTGCTGCGCGCTGCTGGACGCGATAGAAATCGGGTGACTAGATGGTGGTCATGATGATGATGATGATGATGGGTTTACGTCAGTGATTTGGTGCCAGACGGTTGGGTTAGTTTTAAAAAGTAGCGGCCCAAGGGAGTCGAGTCCACAATTCTTGTATGTCGGAAGAACTCTAGATTTCCACGGGGTGTTTGGGGTAATAAATATAAAGCCGGTGGAGATATGGAAAGGAAAGTACTGTACAGACGGGATTATCCAGACGGTCGAGAGCGTAGACTAAAGTTTTGGACAGCAGCGGTCAGCAGATCGGATTCTCAATCCAACCAACTGGTTAAAAAGCAATAACAGACGATTGGGCCCAAGAAGAACCCAAGCAGAACCCAAGCTGGCCCACTGTAACGCGGCGGCAAGTCCACTTTTTGCCCATTTTTCGCCCCAAACCCCCTAAGTCAATATCCACTTCTTCAGCATCGAATTCCAGTCCAGCCCAGTCAGTGTGTTCTGGCCGAGGAAATTCATGGCAATAGCAGCTTTCGCCTCAAGCTCAAGACCTCCGTCTCCCTCATGAACAACAAGTGGGAGGATGTAGTGGAATCCGGCAACTTCCTCCACCTAACCAAAAAATAGAGATATCTAATGAAAAAGAATGTGTAAAAAAAGGGGGACGAGCTTACCAGTAGCACCAGCTTCCAATAACGCCTCGGACTGCGTCAACCCAAGTCCGCGCGCGGCACCAGACACCAGCACGACTTTGTCAGTCAGGACGAATTCGGGCAGTCTGCGTTTGGTGTCTAGGTAGACTTTCGGTTTGACGTCGTCCATGGGGTTGGTTTCCTCCTTTGGCGGGCTGCTGGGCCCGGGAGCCATGGGTTGTGCTGTGGCTGCGGCTGCGGCTGCGTGGATGCCATTACGCAGCGGAGAGGTGTTGCCGTTGACTGTAGTTGTGAAGATAGGAGACATGCTGTGGAAGGAGGATGCTAGGGATGGTGAACAGTATGTTGCAGAGGTAGATACTATGGTATGGTCGTTGATAGAGCGCAGTAAAGGGCTGTTTGTTAGGCGGGAAGATGACAAAGCTCTGGTTGAGATGAAGGGGGAGGATAGGGAGGAGGAGGGAGGTGAGATGGGGAGAATTGGGAGAATTGGGAGTGAGAAAGAGAGGAGGGAGCGGGATGGGTGTTTATGTATGCTGGAGCTGAGGATTCTAGACAACATCTTTTGGGTAATTCATGTTCTGGTGTATGGTTAGCTTGCTGGCTATCTTGGATGGAGTCTGTCCCCATATAAGTTATTGCAGTGCGAGATTGGGGATCTAGAATACGGCCCGTGTGCTATATATTCTACTAAGCAGCGTCCTCCCGGGAATAATTGGTTCCAGTGATGCTTCTAATAAGCGATCCCAATCACGGTGCATTTGCAAAAGTCGATGAACACCGATAACTAGCCCAAAGAACACTGGTAGCGCTGTTCGTTGCAACAACGGCATTCCGTCACACCCAAGCCACTGGAGACGACGTATGTGCTTGGGTGATGAGAGAGTAACTTGAGTCCCCTAATATACAAAACTTCTACTAAGCAGCTTGTTCGGTTGACAAGCGGAGACCCTTGAGTTCGAGACTCCGTGTGGGGTAAAACTTATCCCAGATCCCAGCCTGGATAGTTATCGGCCAAGGAATGATTTCATTATGGGCCTGAGCAGTCGAGCATCAGCATCAGATGAGGTGAAGCTGGGGATCAAGCCAGAGTCACAGTACAGGTGATGGTTCGGAAGGCTGAATCGAGTAAACCGTTGTTCTGGTGCCGGCGGAATTGCCGATTGGCAATGGATCAGAGCCGAGTGGACAGGCGGACTGAGGGTGGACTGGGGAACTTGGGACGAGGAGAGGCAAGTCGACGAACTTTCCAGGGCGGGCTATGTTTTAATGAGTAATTACATTTAGCTTCAAATGACCCCACATTCTATTTATATGAGATTGCCATGTATTCTGAATTGATTTCTCTTTTTTCTCAAATATCTCATCTCTAGTATCTCATCTGTTAATTTCATATAGCATCAAATACTGACATCATCACAAGAGCTCTTATAGTGGCTTTTAAATAACTCTATTTTGACAAGTCAGATGCTGAAATAACAGAAATCACCCAGATCTCAAAGAGTCAAATCAACTGTATATATAAACACGCAATTCAACTGTAAGAAATCCCGCTCCTCACGGATTCTTTACCCCTATTCCTATCTCTCATGTAATCAATAGGGCTAGCAGCCCTTGGCTACACACAACTATATAGACTGGAGTTTGTGAATACTATTCATAACTCAGCTTGAATGCTATTATATATTTAATCTCTATATTTTATCTTTCTTGTGTCAGGTCACGTGATCTGGCTTACTAATCCTTCCACCATATAACTTTCCACAAGCTAGCAACCTTTCAATCACACAAGCTTTACACCTTCCACAGGTTATGAGCCCTGTTTTGCGCAAAATCGCTGCCAATTCGGGATTCCTTGTCAATATAATCTATTTGAACTACTGCTTCATTCGATACGCTCATCAGGAGTTAAAATCGTCTTATTCTATCAGTATTGATGTGTTTGAGATCTTGATAATCAATAATACTACTGCTTGCTTAAAAAAAAAAAAAAGAGGCTTGCAGAAAACGCACCACATTTGTAAAAAAGCAAGAAAAAAAAAGAAAAGAGAATGATATTGGCAAGGATTCAATAAATGAATATTGAGAATTCAATAAATGAATATCAAGATGGCGGATTTAATACAATCTCGCTCACACACATGTTCATGATCTTGCATTCTTTCCACTGAATCAGTTGCAGTTGATGATGATGATTCTTCACACTCACGCTCTGCCAGTGAACATTCTTCTGAAGCCTTTGAAAGTTTCACTGATGAACATTCTTCTGAAGCCTTTGAAAGCTTCATTATTGAAACACTCTCTTAAATTGAAGCTGGTTTGAATACAGCTTCTGACATGGTCAGGCCGGCTCTCTGATCTACTCAATAGCTTGATAAAGCTGGTTCTCTTGATGAGAATATTGAACACTCAGATGTCTACTGTTCAGATAAGGCAATATCAGATCAACAGATGAAGCATCTCAAGATAATGCTTGAGATGAACAAGAGAAAGCAAAGAGTTCTAGAACTCAAACTACAACTGAAAAAACTCTGTCAACAGAGATTCTCTACAAATTAATCACAGAATGTTAACAATCATTCTGTCATCATTTCAACAGCTATAACAGCTACAATGCACAATCTGAAGATTCTACTCAATGCAGCCTGCAAAGCAGCTGCAGTGATTTCTTCAGTGACATCAGGTCTACTGACTGCAGCTTATAAAGAGACTACAGCAATTTCTGATTCATTAATTGATAATCTATTCATTGATGAGAAAATTTGATCTGAGTGTTCATTATTTCTTATACTCACTAATAATTGATGAATTGACTATGATATCTCCGCGAGAATACCTATCTTTTTAGTACAGAATACACTGAACTTCTCAGAACTCACAGTTGAATTGAATGATTCTTCAACATCTATAAGAAATATCACTACAGTAGAAGAAGCTTCAGTGAGAAACAGTCTTGAAGACCTACTCACTGATTCCAAGATCACTACACTTTCAATTCTGAAAAACCTCACACGCGTCAAAGCTTTCATGGAATGAAAGTATTATTACAAAGCCTGTGTTAAAGAGGTCAACTGTTTGAAATATATGTGTTAAAAAGAGAATATAAAGAAGATAGAGAGACAGAGGGATAAAAAATGATGTATATCATGACTGGTTTTTCATTACTTCACATTTTCCAGTCATTTTTTGTACCTGTACTTGATTTGAAGGCGAATTTTGTATATAGCATCGTGTATAGTTACTCTGGTGAGTGGGGGTGTCAGGTCACGTGATCTGGCTTACTAATCCTTTCATCATATAACTTTTCACAAGCTAGCAATCTTTCAATCACACAAGCTTTACACCTTTCACATCTTGTAAGAAATCCCGCTCCTCGCGGATTCTTTACCTCTATTTCTATCTCTCACATAATCAATAGGGCTAGCGGCCCTTGGCTACACACAACTATATAGACTGAAGTTCATGAATACTATTCATAACTCAGCTTGAATACTATTATATATTTAATCTCTATATTTTATCTTTCTACTGTAAATACTTCTAGTAGTTAACAGTATATATTATATCAAGCTGTAAACATCTGAATAATTATCTGTAAGTACTTATTCTTATATTTTAAGCTCAGTCAGTCAGCAACTGTCTGTTATAACTGAAAGAACTAGAAACTTATATACTTCAATTTCTATAAACTCTACTGCAGACACTTAGAAGCAGCTATCTAAATTATGAATAACTCTTATAAAAGAAGTCTCAGAGAACTTACTAATTACTTATAAGATATTATTCTCTATATCTGTAATAGAGAAACTCTCTAAACTTATAAATAAATCAATCTTAGTAAAGAACATTCTTAAGTATCTTTTATAAGATTAAGCTATTTTTCTATAAGAAATACTTACTATCTGTAAACATTCTTGAACTGAGTCTCTAGACATAATCTTCAGAAATATCTATAAACTGAAAAGAAACTTTCTTAAGCTGTGATTACTTAAGATTACTTATTGAACTATAATCTATAAAAGCTTTTACAAGTTTGTATTTAAAATTGACTTATAAGCTCAGCTGTGTAATATGAAAGATAAAGAAGCTATTATCTATATAATAATAGATCTCTATTATACTGAAGTTAAGAACTGACTGAATTATCTAGAGAATAATTATAAGAGATCTCACTAATCTGTTCTTAAAATCTATCTAGAGAATAAGTTAAGAGACTCTGTAAGTTAGACAGAGAATATCTGAACTGTAATTATTAATATTAGAAAAAGAGATGAGAAATCTGATAAAGACTACTTATAATACTTTATAAAATTATAATATGAATTAAGATCTGTGAAAACAGAGCTCTGAAATAAGATCTGAATAATAATATTTATAAAGAAGCTGAATAAAGATATGTAGAATAAGCTTATTAAGTAAGACTCTAAGTTCTTGACTCTGAAGAAGCTGATAATTCTTATTCACTACTTATAGATCACTGTAAGAGTTACAGATTTATAAAGAGTGAATTACTGATCAGCTCTGTAAGAGTCAGAATAATAGATAATAGATTTATTAGAAAAAGATAATAAGATATAGAGAGATTTATATCTAACTACTGAGCAGAGAGAGAGAGCTTTATAAGCTTCTATAAATAGAGTATATAATAGAGAGATTAAGAAAAAGAGACTCTGCTTCATCTATTCTAAATTAGAATATCTTTATATAAACTGTTCAGATAAATTAAAATAGAAATTTAAGAAGTTATAGATGAAGTCAGTAACAGCCTTCTTAAGAGTCTTAAAGCTGATATCTGAATCTGTTACTCTCTTAATGAAAATACTTACTCATAGAGAGAGATTACACTGTGATACTGCTGTTTCACAAGTATAAGAAGTATTGATAAACTTAAAATCTCAGGTCACTGTAATGTCTCTAAAGCTTATAGAGTGAATAAGCTGAAAGATGAAAACTGAGAATCTGCTCTTATAATAAGCAGAATATGAGAACTCAGATCTGAGAGTTAAGAGACTTATAAGAGTCATCTTTAAATTACAAGATCTCTCTGAAATCTGAAGAAGATTTGTAGAAACTGTGATTATCACAGATATTATAGATAATATATACTTAAGACTTGTATAACTTTAAAGACATAATCTGTACATAGCTGTCTGTGAGTCAGGTTTATACTTCTAATCAGTGTTAACAGACTTACTTACAGAGATAGAATTAGTTAATACTGCAGAGTTAATCAGAGACAATAAGCTTATCTATATAATAACTTTATAAGTATCTGAGAATCTCACAGTTATGAAAACTGAGCTTCAGATATCAGAGAAATATCAAGATCTTATAGAGATATTCAGCTCAGTAAAGACAGCTGAGCTTCTCTCTCACTATGAGAAGAATCTGATAATAGATTTAATAGAAGAGTAGAAACTCTTCTGAGAATTAATCTATAAACTCTTTTATTATGAGACAGAGGTCTTGCAGACCTATATAAAGAAGAATTTAAAGAATAACTTTATTCAATCTTCACAGTTCTCTGTAGAAGTCTCTGTGATATTTATAAAGAAGAAGAATAAAGATCTTAGATTATATGTAGATTATTACAATCTGAACTTCAAGATAATAAAGAGCTACTATTCTCTGTCTCTGATTAAGAATGTAATCAATCATCTTATAAAAGCTGTCATATTCATATAACTGAATATGATTAATATATATACACAGCTGTGAATACAGTCAGAGAATGAATAAAAGACTGTCTTTAAAACTGCACTGAGATTATTTAAATATCTAGTGATGTCTTTTGATCTGACTAATATCTCTGTGACATTTCAGTCTTTTATTAATAAAACACTTTATATATATCTGAATGTCTTTGTAATAATATATCTAAATAATGTGATGATGTACTCTGTGAAGAAGAAAGAACATACTGAGCATGTGTGAAGTGTGTTAAAGGCCTTAGATGAGATAGAACTGTATATTAAGCTTATAAAGTATAACTTCAGTGTCTGCTGAATTAATTTTCTAGAATATGTAATCATCACAGATAATATTCAGATGAAATCTTTATAAATTGAGACTATTCGATTGTGGTTCGGAAGAACGTACGACCGTTGAATAATAACGCGGCCGCTTCCGAACTACTAGCGTATGCGTACAAATGTAAAGAAGGGCTCTAGCGGCCACTAATTAATTTAGTGTATGAGATTCAATATATAAGAAGCCGGCGTACGCCTGTAATCATATGCTGGCTTAAGCAACCTTCAAATCACATCTGATAGCATGTCTAAAAACTAGTGAGAAGTGCAGACTT